GAGTAGGTGCTTTAGACCACTGAGCCATCTCTCCAGCCCAAAAGTTTAAAATTTAAAAAGCCACGTGTGGCAAGGCAGGCCTGTAATCCAGCACTTGGGAGGCTGAGGCAAGAGGATCCCTATGAGTTCAAGGCCAGTCTGCACTATAGAGCAAGACCCTATCTCCAAAAATAAGTAAATAAATTCAATGTGTTTGTTTATGTGACAATTGAAGATATTTATATAATAATAGTATGTACTGTCTACAAAGAATTCACCCAAAAAATCTGGAGGAGGAAGAATATTCTTACAGTCTGGAACCTGGTTTTCCGTGGGAAGGAGGGAGAAGGTGAAGTTAGGAAAAAGTTGAAAGGTTTCACCGCTATCTATGATGTTTTATTTCTTTAACACCAAAGAGCCCGGTGTGGTGGCGCACTCCTATAATCCCAGACTTCGGGAGGCTAAGGCAGGAGGATTGCTGTGACTTCAAGGCCAGTCTGAACTGCATAGTGAAACCTTGTCTTAAAAGAAAAAAATAAATAAGTAAATAAATTGAAATGTTTGGCCAAAACATCATAGAATGTTAAAATGTGTTCAAATATTTGTAAATATTTTGCATTCCTTGTAAGTAGTAAATTATAGTAAATAGTTTGTATTAAGATTTGTCAATCTAGTAAACATGGATGTTTGCTATGCTATTTTTGGTATTTTACTGTCTGTTCAAACTACTTCATTAAGAAAAAAGATACTATAAGGCTACAGGAACGATTTTAAGGACATACAAAAGAACAACCTGGCAGCTCTGTCCCTATCTCAACTGGGTCAGACTTTCTTCTCAGTTTCTTTAGTTGTATATTTTTAAATTTCTGACTCTCACCTTAAGATTCAGATATTAGGGTTGACGAGATAGTTTAGCAGCCTAAGTGCCTGTTTAGGCAAGCGCAGGGACCTGGGTTTTAATCCCCAGCACCACATGCCCCTGGATGTGCTGAGCCAGTCACCGAGTCCAGGCTTGGTGGTGCACGCCTGTAATCCCAGCCCCGAGAAGGCTAAAGATAGGAGAATCACTACCAGTCCAAGCTGCATAGTGAGACCCTGTACCAAATACATTAAAAAAAAAATCAGATATTGACTAGAACTGGGCCTCTTAAGCACCCTTAGCTGCAAAGGAAGATGGGAAATCAAGTACTGTACCAGTCTTCCCAGCTGCTTCATGGGAAGTTGAGCAGAGAAAAAGTGGGTCTGGGCAACTGCTGTGTAGAGCCAGTTGTGGTCTCTTCCAGCCCCCTACAATCTCAATTCTTCTGGTTGTTTCCAGTAGCATGTAACTTGTTCCTTCATATTCTATATTTATTGGAAATGGGAAGTCAAGTCTCAGTTAAATTCAGGTTAAATATTTTGAGCATGGTGTGACCTTCATACTCTCCTGCAGCAAGTAACAATCAGTTCTTAGCTTTACAAGTTTCACAATGTTGGCAGAGGTGGTACTGGCCCTGGAGAAGCCAGCCCAGAGTCTAGATATCTTCCTCCACAAGAGTAGCCAGGGTGGCTTTGCATATTTCATACACGCACCTCATACTTGTGGCGACATCAGTTCCTCTGTGTGTTTATCTTGGGCTGTCTTTTTGGAAGTGTGTGGTAAGCAATTTCAGTGTCTCCAGTGTGATTTTCTTGGGAACTGATGAGTCATATATGAAATCTCAACTCAGTTAAAAAAAAAAAAATCAAAAACCACTCAGAAGGAGAGGAAAGGATTTTAGAAGTCAAATACAGAAATGTTGGAAAATGATTCCTCTTCCATCACTAGAACTTTTAATTTTGTGGTACTGAGGGTTAAACCCCAGACCTTCAGACTAAGCTGCCCCTCTCCTCTTCCGGTAAATTTTGAGACAGGATCTCACTAGATTGCTAAATTGCCTGGGTTAGGCTTGAACACATAATCCTCCTGCCTCCTAGAGTGCTGGGATGACAGATGTGTGCCTCCCCACCTGGCTTGAAGTGCCAAGTCAGGAGCTAGTCAAGGTGAGACAAGGATTCTGGCCCGGAGGCCTGTGGCTCGTCGGCCCGTGGCAGATGTGGAAGCTGCTCTGGGGGTAAAAGCGCTTAGGCTCCTGGCTCCACTGCTCCTCTGAGGCCTTCTGCAGGGGTGTGGGCTTCCAGTTCGCCTGTTTACACCAAGGTGGTGTGGCGCTATCGTGGCCCCTGAAGACCCCACAGCACCTGTTGACCACAGGCCCCTGTAAGCCACGTGGGCCAGGTGGTCTTGCTTCAGATTTCACTATAAGACCCTGGCCAACCCTTCCCTCCCGTAAAGCCCAATGCACCCCATCTGCTCAGCTGGCCCCCCTACTGCAGCAATCCCTGACAATGCCAGGCTGCCGCCTTGGAGGCATTTTAAAAGTAAAACCAGCTCCGCCTGATTTCCCTGGGTCCCTCCCTGCTTTCCCAAGTCTGCCAAAGGCAGCCCCAGTGCTTCTTATTTCTGAGCTCCGCTTCAGCCATGACTCACTGGGCCTATCCAGCCAGGCCCCTGTGCCAAGAGTCTCCAGTGGCAATGGTTATACTCATTAGTGCTTGGCCAGCTGTAATCCTGGCCTTGCCACCATCACCCTCCTCCCTCCCTGCGGAGCTGGTGTTATCTCTTGTCCCAGGCCCTCCTGCCTGAAAAGGCTCCAAGTTTACCCTGTGTGTCACACTGGAAGGAGCTACCCCACCTTATCTCCAGCTCCATCAGTTCTAGTCCCCTGGACTTTACCACCTTCTGCTAATGACAGAGGCACCAGCTGCAAGGCATTTACAGCCAGTATCTGTCACCTTTACAACCACCCTGGAGCAGAGTGGAGTGCAGGAATCAGTGGCTCTATTCCTGACCAGCACAACAGAGGATCTCCCTGCCCAACCCTGGTTAGTAAATAGCAGAGCTGGGAGTCAGCCTCAGCTGCCTGACCAAAGCCTTCATTCTATGCATCCGAGTTCCTCCCCTCTTCCTGCTTTTTATTCTTCTGTAGTTCTAGAGGTTGAACTCAGGGAGCATGCAGCTACATCCCCAGTTCTTTGTATTTATTTATTTATTTTTTTTTTAATTTTTATTTATTTATTTTGTGTGTGTGTGTGGCCAGCTCAGCCCACCAGGGGGCGGGGCTGGCTGGCATGTGGTGCTGGGGATTAGAACCGCGGTCGCTGTGCTTTTGCTTAGCGTAGCTTGTTCTAAGTAGGTGCTTTAGACCACTGAGCCATCTCACCAGCCCTGTATTTTTTTATTTTGAGAAAGAGTCTTGGTAACTAGCCCAGGTTGGTCTTCAGCTTGCGATCCTCCTGCCTCACTGAGAAGCCAGTGCCCAGCAGTCCTCGCCCCCACCTCCTCCAGCTGCCTCCAGGCTGCAGCCCCTCGCTCTGCAGATCCTCCAGCTTCCTGGCAGAGACCTCGGCCCAGCACAATGTAGTTCTTAGCTGTAGGCTGCTGTGCCCAGCCTCTTTCGCATCTGCCTGTCTGGTCCTAAGAAGCCTGTGTCTGAGTTACAGGTGGCGCTTGTCTGGAGGGTTGAGGTGCTCCAAAGCTGAGCTCGGGCTGACACCCCAGCCTCCTCCCGAGATCTCTTCATGCACGGTGTGTGCATGGCACATGCACAAGCAGGCACACACACATGCACATATGCGTACACATGTAATCAAAAGCTGTCTTCCAAAATTAATTACATGAAACTACCCAAGACAGAAAACTCCCTCCTAACTGAATCCTGGGCAGGTCTCTGCTTGTGGGATTCCAATGTGGAACTCCGAAGTCTGCACAAGCATTGGATTGAGGATGCCACCGATGTCCCCCAGAGAGAGGCGCTTCGCTGGGCTGAGTCGGGTGTCCGATGTGGATGAGGTATTTCCCTTCTGCTTCTGGTCCTGTCACTCTGTGCTCTTTGGAGAGGAGACTTAGGGAGGGTGGTGGTGAACACAGGGCCCTGTGATGAAGTTTTGGGCACTGTGAGGGGGTCCTCCTCCATGGTAGGTGGGGGACAGCCTGTGGCATTAACCAGGCCCCCTCGTGCCACCTCCCTGCCCAAGCATCTGTGGAAATGTGTCTCTGCTCTGATCCCAGTGCTGCTGACCTGTGGGGCTCAGTATCAACCCCTCGAGTTTCTCAGGGCACAGTGGAAAAAAGAGCAGACAATATGACATCCCAGACATTGGAGGGATCTAGATTTCAGGTCGAGTTCTTCCTGGGCAGGGGGAGGGTTCGGAGGTTGATGAGAGGGCAGAGACTGGGCGTCAGAGGAAGGAGCAGGGGTGAGGGATGCACAGGTTGGTGGGTGGGCCCTGAGGCCACACTTCTCTGCAGTTTTGCCTCCTCCAAGATGAGGATAAACAAGCAAATAAACACAGTTGTGCGTGTGGAGGAACATATAAAGGTGATTACGGAACACATCACAAACACCGCATAGCCTGGAGGGGTGCAGGAGGCAGGGGAGGGGCGTGGGAGTCGTGCTTCGTCCCCTTGGAAAGCTAGAGCCACACAGCAGCCCAGCCTCCTGGGGGAGGGGACTGGTCTCAGAGGAGGCGGCCTATAACTGCTTGCAGCAGGAACAGCAGCGGCGCGGCTGGAAGGGCGGCGCACGCAGAGCCCGGGCAGAGGTTTTGCAACTGGATGCGTGGAGCCTGTCGAGCTGGTGCCCGCTGTCAAGCTGGTGCCCGCCTCTGTGGGCATGGCACAAGTTGGGAGCTCTCAGTGCGCCCGGGTGCGCCTAGTGCGGGCGGAAGGCTGAGGAGTTCCGGCCTTGCCATAAGCAGCCGGGGCCCTGGAGGCCCGGAGCCCCGGGGTGTTGATGTCCTGCTGCTCTTCCTAGGCAGGAACCGGCGGCTGCGAGGCAACCTTTGAGGCTGCTTCCCTGCAGAGTTTAACAGGCCCAGGCGGTGCAGGAGCCACCCACGGGTGCCCCAGCAGAAGGGGCAGAGACAGCCACATTCCAGCCGGGCTGCTAGGAAGCCAGGTCGCATTTCCACGGGGAGTGGCGGCCCCAGAGGCTGAGGAGATGGAGGAGCAGGTGTTCAAGGGGGACCCGGACACCCCCCATTCCATCTCCTTCTCGGGCAGTGGATTCCTCTCCTACTACCAGGCCGGGGCTGTGGATGCCCTGCGAGACCTGGCCCCCCGCATGCTGGACACGACTCATCGCTTTGCGGGGACCTCGGCAGGGGCTGTGATCGCAGCCCTGGTCATCTGCGGGATCGAGATGGGTAAGGAGCAGAGCCTGAGGGATTTGAGGGTGTGTCTGGGGACAGAGCCAGGTCTGGGTGGATCTAAGGCACCGGGGCAGCCGTGATTCCCTGTCCTTCTGTGTCCTCGCAGTGAGCCATGTCCCGGGCTGGCGGAGGGAGGGAAAGGGATTCTGTAGAGTTACACAGGACACCATCACAAGCAGGGCTAAGGGCAGCTCTGTGTGGTCTCCTTTAAAATGCAAAAGCACTCAGGTGAAGCAACCTTGGCGAGAATGGATCTTTCACCTGGCCCAGGTGGTTGGAAAGATGGCTGAATTTGGAGGCACGGCAGGGGGGACCCTGAGAAGAAGAAAATAGGAATGAGGATGGGGTGGCCTAGGGACGCCCTCATGCCACCTCTGATGGGGCCACAAGGCTGCCCAGAGGGGAGAGCGCCGGTCACACTGTGCCTCCAGAGCAGGTGCACATACAGCTGCCTAGCTCCTTGGGGTGGCGCTGGAGGTTGGGGGTTTGCTCCTGACTGAGCCCCTGCTTGGAGCCAGGCTGGGATTTGGGCCTTCATGGAGCAGAAACTGTTGAAAGACAGAACACCCTCCCCCAATCTCTTAGTGGAACACCGGAAGTGATATGGATGAACTGGAAAGTGTGGGCCGGAGAGGCAGGGAGAAGCTGGTGATGGGCGCGGCTGACATGGAGCACGGGAGCAACTGGACTTGGGGCTCGCCCCCATGGTAGGGTTGAGGAATCATGCATGAGGGCCGGCTGCTCCGCGTGAGGAATTGGTGGCGGGGACCTTACCCCAGCCCATCAGGGTGCTTGTGTGCTGGGGCTCTGACACTGGATGGAAGTCTTTTTTTGTTTTCTTCTGGTTTGTTGGTTTGTTGAGAGAAGGTCTTGCTGCACAGCCCAGGCTGGCCTTGAACTCACAGTGGTTTTCCTGTCTCGGCTTCCAGAAAGCCAGAATTACAGGTGTGCCCCACCTCACCAAGCTCTGGAGGTCTCCCTATCCCTCCCTCTGCCTGGTACTGAAAATTGAACTCAGGACCTTGGACTGAGCTCTGTTCCCAGTACTCCCCACCCTTTGATTTTGAGGCAGGGTCTCTCTAAGTCACTAAGTGGCCTGAGCTGGGCTTGAATTTGATCCTCCAGATCCACCTGCCTCTGCCTCCCAGTGTGCTGGGATGCTGGGTATGCAGCACAGGGTCTGACCAAGTTCTTAAAATACCTGGTCCAGGTGAGTCAATGGTGTGTTCTCTCTCTGGCATTCAAAGATTTTCTGGAATGCATTCAGTTCACTTAGCTGGATAAGTAGCGCCCCAAACCGACTTGGCCATGCAGTGATGGGCTGGGTAATAAAGAGCTGCACCTAGGAGGAAGCCACCATGTGGGATCGAGGACCAGGCTGTGCTGCTCAAAATTACGGCAGAAGTAGGGGGGTTGGGGGAGGTCTGGGTCTCTTCCCTGGCCCTGTGTCACACAGCCTCGATGTCACCCCCACTGCCGTGTGATTTACCACTGACTGGCACCCCTTTACAGCGGGCCCCACTCTGTCTTTGACATACACTCCTTTAACCCATGAAAAAGTGCTCTGAGGTGAAAAACTATCATTACCCCATTGTACAGAGGAGGAGACTGAGTCACGGGATACCTCAGTGCCTCATTGAAGGCAATACAGCAACCCTGGGCAGAGCTAGGATCTGTAGCCAGTCTGGCCAAAGTCTGCACTCTTGTGTTTTAACCACACTGTTCCTTGACAGTGCAGACCCAGGGAAAGGGCGGCGGCTGGGCAGGTGGTGAGGTCCAGGCCAGATGCCTCTCTGGGCAGGCAGAATCTGCACTCAGATGGTGCCAGGGCAGGCAAGGGTATTTGGGGACAGCATTCTAAACTGAAGGAAAAGTGACTTGTGTAGATCTGTAGCTTCAGTTAGCATTAGAACAAAAGCCAGGTCTGGTGTGGTGGTGGCATAATCCTGTAATCCCAGCATCCGGGAGGCTGAGGCAGGAGGACTATCATGAGTTTGAGGCCATCCTGGGTTACACAGTGAGACCCCGTGCTCAACAGAACAGAACAGAAAGAACAAGAGCCAGTCCCAGGTTTGCCAAATGTCTTCGCACCCCCACATCCCATCACGGCTCTGCCCCAGTTCAGTTTGTCGCTCAGCGGATGGGCACATCGGAGTCGGCATGCAGACACCAGCACGTTTGTGCCTTTCACTTGCCAAATCGAACTCCAGAATGCTCGAGCCCCTTTTGAGTTCTGATTTCTTCGAGATGTCATCAACCGTGGGTGCTGTCGAACTTGCAAGCTGTAGTTCAGTCTGTGAAATCCTTTCTATCTCGGCGATTTTGCTGCTTAATCTTCTCGCCCTGCTTGCCGCGCGGAGAAGTGTTGTGCTTTTGTCTGCGCCTGCTTCCTCCCCCAGCTCGCCTGCCTGCCCTCTGCCTGATTTTATTGCTGTCGTCCTCATTTAGGTGTTCTTTGTCTACGCTGGACATGAATTGGCAGCCACCGAGATTGTCTCTGTCTCCCCCAGCTCCAGGGCTGAGCTTTTTATTTCATTTCGGCTGGTTCTTATTCTGAAAAATTTAAATTTCATGTTGTCACATGTATCTGTCTTTTACAATTTGTGTTTTTAAGTCTTTGTAACAATGGCTTCTACTTTGCCTTTCACATTTTTTCAAGTTGTTTTTTCATTCTTCTTTCTTTTCTTTTCTTTTTGCAGAACCGGGGATTGAACTCAGTCTCTTACGCTTGCCAGGGAAGCGCTTATTCTACTGAGCCATCTCCCTGGCCCCTCAAGTTACCTTTTCATAATTAGGTCAGCTAGCTAGAGTTCACTGCACTGAGAGGTTGCAACAGAGATCCAGTTTATCCATTACCCACATCTACACCTGTGTATTTATCATCTAGCTCTCTATCTACCACCTATCTATCACCTATCAGTCAGTCATCTATCTATCATCTGTTTATATTTTGCTGTACTGGGAATTGCACCCAGAGCCTTCACACTGAGCTACAATCTTAGTACTTTCCATTTATTTATTTTTATTTTTAATTTATTTTGAGAGAAGATCTCACTAAATTGCCCAGACTGGGCTTAAACTTTCCATCCTCTGCCTCAGTCTCTGAGAGTGCTGGGAATGCAGGCGAGCACCACAGCGCCTGGCTGAGACCCCATTTTGTGCTCATTTTTCCAGGCGCTGCCCCACTGGGGATGGCCTCAGACGCTGCTGCTGCTGCTGCTGCTGCTGCTCCATCCCTGCTCAGGGCCGCACGAGCCTTGCTGCGGGGTCCCTCCCCTGTCTATGGGCTGAGTTGCCGATTTCTGTGCCACATCGCACTATTTATTCGTGGTAGCCCTGTGGGAAGGAGCACAGCACACACAGGAGCACTCCCCTCCTCTGCCAATATAACATGCTCTTGTCCCCTGTGCCTAAACACAGAAACCTCTGCGGGGACTTGGACTGAAGTGACACCTTCCCATTTAGACACACAGTCTCTGTCTGTCTGTCTGTCTGTCTGTCTGTCTGTCTGTCTGTCTGTCTTCTGCTCTTTTGTCCTCCGATAAAGATTTTTCACGTCTGTCTCATGTTGGCTTTACGTCTGAGGGTCTCTTGGCTTGCTGTGAGGAGAGGGTTCTTTTTTCCTGAGGTCTGTACATATGTCATGGGTAATCTCTGACGCAAAGGAAGGTGGAAGGCTTTCACATTTTGACCAAATTTACAAGATTCACGTGTTTTCACTGCCCTTGTCTTAAGGCGGTTGCTGGATGACCCCAGGTTGTGTGCGTAAATCATCACACGACCTGCATATAACCAGAAGTTTGTCTCTTATTTTTTTGTCTCACTACGCAGCTCAGACTCGTAGTGATCCTCCTGTTTTCAGCCTCCCCAGCGTTGGGATTACAAGCATGCACCACCATGCCAGGTCTCAGGGGCTGGCTCAGTGTGCCCCAGGGTGGGGCCACGCAGTCTGTGGTGCTGGGGATCGACCCCCAGTCCCTGTGCTGCCTAAGCAGGCACTTAGCTGACCCATCTTTTTTAAACTGAGCTCTTCATCTCCAGGTGCGGGGTGATGGGAGCTCCCTCCTTCCATCCCTCCCTCTTCCATCCTTTCCTTCTCTTCCCAGAGCTCTGAGCACACCTTGGGCTCTCTGCAGGCTCAGAGGTACAGTACCCCAGGAAACTGCTCTGGCCCTTCCAGGCCTCCCACCTGCTGGAACTTGCAGACAGCCCCCAAATAATCTAATGCAAGAAAGCGCCTGTCTTGGGTTAGAAAACCTAAAGGCACAAGTGGAGGCAGCACGTGGAGTCACGGAAGGCCTCTAGGAGCTGGCTAGTGGCTGAGGCTGAGTGGAAGCCGGACAGGCGGGGACAGGTCGGGTAGGAGCCTAGGCTTCTGAAAGGACAACAGCAGGGCGACAGGACAGAGCCGTCAGTGGAGGCCCCGGCGCCTCCAGGCTGACGTGCTGAAGCCCGCAGAAGGACAGACGTGTCTGTAATGTGCCCTGGCACCCCCGCAACTCTAGGAGAAACTGCCCAACGCCTGCCAGCTTCTGCGCCGTAATTGTCACGTTGTCCTGGTTAAAAAGTGTCCATCAGATCGGGGCGTGGTGGCCCGCCCTGCAGACCTAGCACTCGGGAAGGGACAGGCAGGAGGACTCAAGTTTAAGCCCCTCCTGGGCAACTTGGAGACTTAGTATCTCAAAAAAAAGGGGGGAGGGGGGCGAAGGCCCTGCGTTCAGTTCCCAGTACTGCAAAAAAGAAAATAAAAAAGCGTCCTTAGGAACTCGTCAGCGGTTCCTAACCGTGGCTGGCCCTAGGGTCACTGGAAGGTTGTACCGCTCCCACCCCAGGCCCCTCCCACACTAAGTTGGGGTGGGAGGCAGAGCTCGAGGCGATCCCCTTGGGCACTGGATCGGTGACCCCGGGCTTGGGAATCCCTGCGGGCCATCAGCTCCGCGCGTCTGAGCAGGCAGCGAAGAGGACAGGCCCACGTTCGAGGTGGACACAGGGGA